GGTCACGAGGTAGCGACAGTTACCACACAATTGTGTCAGTCGTCCGCTGTACCTTGTGGTGAGAGGGTGTCACCACGCGGTCTCCCTCCTCCTTATTAAGTTCCCCCTCGTGTGCTCTAGTGTTTTGGGGATAATCTAATGAAACATATATATGCTGGCAAGGTATATATGAAATTGTTTAATAGTCGTACTTGTGAAGAAAACTTTTCATTCTTTTTTATATTCAAAGAAAATTATATCGACAGTGAAAACTTTAAAAATTGGTCGTTCAAGATGGAAGATATTTCCTATCTTTATATGTTATTCTTGTGTGAATTTAATACTTACAGAATTGTTGTTGACCAGACCGTAGGAGCGTCCGGGCTGTGTGTCTGGCCATATTGTCAGAGAGTTGGAAGGTTTTAGTTTATTTAGGGTATACCCCATATACCCAGATGGTTATACCCCGTATACCCATCTGTGGGTAGAAAGTATACTCTATCAGTCACATAATGGGTTCAGGTACTTTGAATGACAACAACAAAAAAGTTAAAACATGGAACCTGCCATGTTTACAATGCAACTCTTTATAAGCGTTTTTGTACCTCCACTGACAGGAATATTATGTAAAGCCTCAGTTATCATATATATATATATATGCATGTTAGCAGCGGCGTGAGAATGTACCGTTTACTCATTAAAATGTAAACAAAATAGATAATTAAATTAAATGTGGTCTATCCACAGCTGGTAACATTTAATGACTCTCCCAACAATGGCCTGGGCTCAGTCCATCTCGTGACCGAATTGACATTAACAAATTCCTACACAAATATATGTGCATAAATTAGACCAATACAGATCAAATTTAGTCAATATTTTAACATATTAAGGAAGCTACATGTTGAATACACCTCACTGTACCTATGCTTCAAAATAAAGTTATCGTATACACACAGAGATCACACTAACGTGATGCATCAAATGAACAATGTCTGGGATGCTCCCGGACGCAGGTTCGAATCCTCGTCACGGCCCTTGTGGATTTGTTCAAAGTTATCGTATAAATACTACAGACAGTCGGGAGACTACCAAAGTAGTATTTAATCACCACACTCAATTTTTTGCATTATATCAATAGTACTAAAATGCACTACGTAGTTGGTGTTTTAATGTGCAGTACTACCTATTTATGGTTAGGTTAGGTGCATTGAATCAGTGTAGTTGATTATTGTTGACAGTTGATTGTTGCAGTACTGATGAGTTGAATCAGTGCATTGCATCCTCAAATATGTGAAACGTGAAATCCTGGCTTGCTTGAATAACAAGAATTTGTCATGAAAATGTTGGCCTTAGGGCCTATCAAAGAAAACATAAATATCAGAGACTTGGTTATAAAGCCTAGGTTTAATGTCATATATATAAAGTTATAACATGTGATTAATCTCTATTTTGGACAAGGTTCACTTGCCAATTGACCAAAAGTGTATTTGATGTAATTTTAATAAGACTCCTTAACATCACAAATATCTTGATTAGTATCCAAGTAGTTTGGGAGGATGGACACACAACAATCACTAGGCTCGGTTCATAAATCATTTTCTGCATACTGTAGTATGTAGAAAATGCATCCGGTAGTAAAATGCACTTCGGATGTACTTAATTTGTTAATGAGATAACTAACCTGAGGACGGACCGGTTACTTCTGAGCTTGGGTTTCCTGTCATTAAACCCATTTACAATTATATCTGAATTATACGGAAGTTTTACCATACCAAGTTTTTACCTGAATGGAAGTTTTTAGTTTTTACCTTTTTAGGAAGTTGTTAGTTTTTACCTTTTTAGGAAGTTTTTAGTTTTTACCTTTTTAGGAAGTTTTTAGTTTTTACCTTTTTAGGAAGTTTTTAGTTTTTACCTTTTTAGGAAGTTTTTACCTGAATGATGTAGTATTCTTGTTCACAAAGTTGAACAAGTATTTCCCTCTGATTACCTTTGCCAGAACTCTCAGCTCTTTGTGTACCAGTAAGTCTATAAGTTTGATTAGTTCATTTATTATGTATCCAGTACCCATCCCGTAGGTGATGGTAGACAATTTTACAGAGGCACATAATGGGTTCCCTGAACCCATTATATGGGACCTGAATCAATGAAATTAAGACCAAATTACAACAAATAAAACCAAATAAAAGTTACAACATTGATGAGCAAATTTCAGAGTTTAAACATGCATTAAGTTTGTTTGTAGTTATAACAAGTTTAGATTAATTTATATGAAGGTTGCAGAGCACCAAAATGATTAAGTGACGTGCATTTGTGAGTAACAAATTTTGCCAAAGTTGCAAGAGTAATCATATAATTACATGATTAACTAACATTACGGTACATAGTTAAGCACTTTCAGACAGATTAGTTTTAGCATGTGAACTGTATACAGTAGGCAAACTTTGGATACCTGGCTTGGATTTAAGACAATATGTCATCATGCCCCAAATACAGGGCCATTTCGTGAACTTTAACCTTGTGATAAAGTTGTCTCTAAACTGTGTTTTTCTCATTCAGTTTCATAGTGACGTAAAGTATATGAAAAGTTTTACTACAAAGTTAGCATTTAGTCAGGTCTACTTCAACAGGTTGTGTAGACACTCAGAAATAAACACTTGTAGCCGAGCTTAGCAGTAGTGATGTCTAGAAGTCTGCTCATACTTAACTGTATGGCATACGCGACTTTTCCTGTATAGTGGTATGGTGATAAATGGAATACCTAGTGTAACTTTCACTTTGTCTAGGTGTGTTAAATGTTGCTAGTTTCGTTATATTGCTGCCCTCGCGCAGCACACAGGTAATCCAAAATGCCAATCAATTCCCTCTTTAAGAGATTATGTTTTGGGTAACTCAGCAATTTTACCATGCATTCAGAAGCCAATATGAGACGATATCCGTAGGAGGACTTTGATTCCATCATTCATGATTTTATATGTACCTTGGTTCAGACACAATTATTGTAGTTATATGTTGAGGAGTTGAATGGTCAGTGATGACAATTACTCACAATAAATATGTCGGCTATGGTTGCACGTACTCGTTAAAGTGCCACGTATGATAAAGTGTAAAATATGACAAATAAGTGTCTAACGAGTGAAGGTTCAGTTATTTACACGAACACTTTAGAAACGAAACAGTCTTTCGCTGTCACAACAACTGCACTTCCAGCGGCACCAGTGGAATGGTGTTGATAACTATCAAGCATGGGTTTGGTCTTGCATCTTCTCGGATGGGAAGAGATGGATAGAAATTTGCAAAGTGATGATCCCCCACGGTGTTGGGATGTACAGTTGTTGTCTATCTTGGTAGAGATTATGAACCTGATACGTTCATTTCGATTCCAGTTTTAGTATTGCATTTTGAAGGATATTGACCTTCGATAAAATATGTTTGAAGGACATTTCTGCAGGGTTTGGGGTGTGGTTATTCCAAGCAGCATGTTACCATTACCGCTTTAAGAAATTATTTTATTTAGTTGAAATCATTTTGAGTCTATCCCACGGCCTGGGCTGAGCAGGGTGACCCCCACCACAGCCACGGCTGGGCTTAGTGCATGTGACACGGCGTCAAGCACTAAGGTGACTAGGGCGCGTCACTCATCGGAATAATTGTAGCTGGCATAGTCGAGCAAGGCGGTGTAAGTAGGTAAAGCGGAGAGGTGTAAGTGACGGTAAAGGCAGGCTAATGGTGTACATTACAGCAGGTAAAGTCAGGGTAATGGTGTACATTACAGCAGGTAAAGTCAGGGTAATGGTGTATATTATAGCAGGTAAAGTCAGGGTAATGGTGTATATTATAGCAGGTAAAGAAGACTTGCAGTACGTAGAACAATGTGTCATATAATATAGCAGGTGAAATAATGGTTTAGTATTGTGAGTGCATGAAGTAACGGGTCTTTCTCATGACATGTTCGTGTACGAATTCTTTTCTCTAATAGTCGTTGTTTTGGGAACGCGTATTCAGTACTTGAAAACATGACACAAACTTCATTGCGTCATATTACTGCATTTTGTTATCGCGTTCTTGAAACTCTTAATATATTTTTGCAGCAGAAATTTGACAACGGTGAAAGAGGACATTCTGTCACAAGTATTGCTTAGTGATTGACGATTACCAATAAGATACCGGATACATATTTTTCAATAACTGGAATTTTTACCAGTGTCAGAAAAAGTCGTTTCTTGAGGCCTGGAAAACATATTATGACCAGTTTTTTTCTGTGCGAGTTTTCATTGATATGATACCCTCTAAAACACAACACAATACATTGCTTTGAATTGGCACAAGAGATCAACTCTGCCCCCTCGCAAGACATGCAGCCTAAGCCATTTAATGAAAGAAATCGCGAATTTGTAGCCAACCTGATATTCTAACAACTGAACCCAACAAGCAAGTCACAGCCTTCAACAAATCGGCTAAACTAAAAAGAATCAAGAATATTCTCCTCCAGATTTTGATTTTCGAGTACATATTTGTGTGTGTGACGTAGGCCACATCAGCATGGCGTGTGCGCTCCTGGTTACTCTCCTGTTATGGGTGAGTATTAACTGGTGTTCAATGTTTGAAGTAAATATTATTAACTTAAATACCAGTGCATGGTGTCATAATATCTTCTAAAATATTGTCCATTTTTAAGTAGATCGTACTTGGTATATACCATACATTTTAATTAGATTATACTTATATATATATATATATATATATATATATATATATATATATATATATATATATATATATATATATATATATATATATATATATATATATATATATATATAAAGTAATAAACCGAGTAGATTTTGTGCTCTAGTGTTTTGGGTATAATCTAATGAAACATATATGCTGGCATGGTATATATGAAATTTTTTCATATATACCTCCGAGGTCTCTTCCTTGGCTACTGTGTCAATCAATTACAGGAGTATCTTCACATTACATATAATATATATACAAGTCTTCCAAATGTTTTCAAACTACTCCAAGAAATATCATTGGCTTTGTTGAATTATCGCAATGCAGCTCTGTAAACTATTGGCTTCGAAAATTACTTGAGGGTGATCCAACACCAACATTGAGAAGCCTAAAGCAAGTTCAACGTTAACTATATCTTGATTCTCAAATATTCTTACAAGAAACTTGTGTTCTTGAACAAAAATTTAAAAATTCATATATTCTTATTTGAAATTAAGACAATATTTATTATAGATAGTAGTTTGAAATTGTTCTTACAGCATGTATAGTGACTTAATTCATCTGCCTACCTTAGAGTACTCTTAGGCCATTATAAAAGACTTGGGCCAGTTCGCTGATAATACGACCTATTCTCTCCGCCCCTTTGTAAAAAGTGCAACTTTTTTGGCCAACCAAAAACGTACAACCCAACATCCTCCCTAACCCTACAGAAGCTGGTGCATAGAAAACGTCAATATCAGTGCTTACATTTTCTACTATTACGTCACAATTTTTAACGAATTGGTTTATTCTCTAAAAAATTATGCTATGTATTAGGTGACAGGAAGGACTCGATAATGAATAGATAATATTGTACGAAAGTTTTTTTATTTCAATCTTTATTAGAAAAGGATTAAAAGAATTTGATAGTAATTCTAAATGAATGTGAAGAGGGCATTAATCATTCCTTATCAAACAGCAAGCTCATTGCTCTAACTGATTTTCTCTTGGATATATACTGTACTGCAGATCACGTTAATGTGAATTCTTTTTTGTCTGTGTGTGTTTATAGCAATTGCTCCAGAAACATTGAAATTCAGGAAATATATACGAAGCAGCACCGTGAGCGGTAAGTTATTTGGAAATATCTGAGAGTAATATAACATCCTCCCACTCTGGTGTCTGGGGCCCTACTGACCGTTGTTCGTCTCCTGCAGGTCTCCGCCGCAGCCGCCCAGGACTATCAAGGTCAGAACCTTATTGTTTATTATTATTAGTTATTTGCAATTATCATATTTGAAATATTTTACTATACTATTCTTTAGTTATTGTTATACCATTCTGTTATTTGGTTATCAATAGTAATATTATTATTACTGCAGTATTGTGTTATAATTATTGTGTTGTATGTTGGCAATTTCATTTTTGAAAATAATGGTAGATACTGTTTACTTCTTAGTTTGGAAGGCAGCACTGCAGGGTAGTTCATACAGGAATGTGTCTGTAGTCTATAGTTTTATGGAACACTATTGAGTGCTATTAGCTATTCATTTACAATTTTGAAATGTTGAACTGAGCATTAACGGTTATTTGTGAAGTCAAGAGAAATACAACATGGGAGAAAATATTTAATAAATGATAATAAACATCAAGAAAGCACTTGCAAGTGAATAAACAAGACGTAATTGAACTTGAAATAATTAAAAAATACGTGTAGAGTCAAATTAAATTGCGTAAAACACAAATAAACAAATACACAAAGCCTTTTGTAATTAAATTACAAAATGTCCCAATACCTGATCTTGTCGGTATAGCGACAAATGTTGCATGTTGAACATGAAGATGCCCGTCTAGCACTTCGATTCCCAACGGTCCAAGTGTTTGGGCACCATTCCTTCCCTTCGTCCTATCCCAGCCCCTGGCATAGCCCTTTCCTGAGCTATATAGTCATATTGACTTATCTATTCCTCCTGATCACTACCTTACCTCTTCGTTTTGCACTGAGGCATATAAGTACTTGGCCAATTGTGTAATACATTATACTTGACAGCTCACGTTGCGTACAAAATTGTTATCTGACACAGCCGTTATTTCATCAGTATTAAGAGTAGTTTTGGCAGTCGTAGATGTTGCACAGTTGGGTTGTTCTCGTCTCACAATCGTGAATCCCGTGTTCGAACCCCGGGTGGGACAGAAATGATTTGGTAAGTTTCTTTTCACCTAATGCGCTGTTCACTTCGCAGTAAATATGTACCCAGGTATTAGTCAAATGTTAGTGAGTAGTTGTAGGAGGATGAGGATCAGTAGTTCGACCTAGGAGGGACCTCGATACAAGCCTAACTAGTATACAATGACAGTTGAGAGGCGGGATCAAAGAGCCGAAGCTCAAACCCCGCAAGCACAACTAAGTGGGTACATACACAGACTGCTTGACTCCGACAAAATTAATTATCAATTATTACAAGTGCCTCCATCTTGGTGTTCCCACACACAGTGGCCGACATAAGGTGTGACTTCGGGGACGAGACGACAGTGACCGAGGGGACAGGGCGAAATCAGAGGCTCTCGGCTAGACTCATGAAGCCAGAAGGGTTCAGAGGACACCCACTCTTCGCTGACGACAAGAGAGCCGACCCTTTCAGGTATGTGATGGGTCTGTAGCTATTTGAGACCGGCTGCGGATATAGATACGCACTGGTCCGAAACTAGACGTTGTGGGCAAGGAAACCCATTGTATCCCAAAGCATGAAACATTGTAAAGAATCTCACATGTTGTGGCTGGAACAAATATACACAACCCCCACACTAGTGTCCTGAAAGGGTTTTTTTTTTTGAATAGAGCAAATGTTTGTTAAACTCATTATGTCCCAGTGTAGTGTAGCGAAGGATGCATGTATGTATTAGGCTCTAATAATCTATATATTATTTACCTGAATTTGTCAGTGTCACTGTTCCCTTAGTGGTCTCGACAGGGACAGGAATTCAGCGGCTTATCAAAGGTCCGCCCTATTGTTCTTGGGTATTTTTTCGAACTTTTTCTTTTTTTTTAACTGCAGTAATGTCTTGGCATTTACAGCTTCAGGGGTGGGTGGTTCCATGGCTTTATAACCCTGGGGTGAATATGCAGCTCCTGTTTGCTGTTCTACACTAAGGCTTGTTGAGCTCGCAGCCGTTGCTCCTTGTATGTGTTACATTTTACCATTTAAAGAACTCGATTAATATCCTCCAACTTGTTCAGTATTTTAAAGGCCTCTAAAATCAACGTATATCCACTTTAAAGAGAAAAACGAAAATAATAGCACTTTTGTATATTAACATTGTCAAGTTGTGAACACAGACATAATGCAAGGATATAAATACGTGATAATTCCAAGCGCGCCATGAGTGAGATTTTGACCTCCACTTGCGTCATGCAAAGCTCAGTATTATATGTACATATATATGTAAATATTTTGTAGACTTGGGCCCCAGGAGTTCCTTTAAGCATATTTGGTTAAATGGCCGCATTGCTGGCGTTGTTGATATTATAGTGCAAGCTTTCTATGTTTCTAAATAGTTTCTTAGTGTCAGTATTAAGAAGAGCAATAAAGATACCAAAATTCATGATAAAGAAGCTATTAATTATTGAATGATTTATTTTCTACAACGTTTCGTTCCTCTCTGGAACATCTTCAAGTAAAGAATGAATGCACAAGGTCCAACTTTGGGTTAAGTACACGTGAGAGAGGTGTACCTGTTATTGCTATAATAAATTATTAGTAGTATTATAACTATGGATCTCAAAGTTGCTAAATTGCAATAAAATAAATGTATTCCCATTGAGGAATTTTGCTCGTTCCTCCAAAACCCTTTATTCTTTTCTGTTAGGCTATGTGTCATTACAATTTCACTAGAGGTAGTACTTCTTATATATATATATATATATATATATATATATATATATATATATATATATATATATATATATATATATAAGATTACAAATAATAGAAGGAGCCACACTGTTCGCGTGTGGCTCAAACAATGGGAGGCATGATAATTAACATAATGTTATATTTGTCACAAATCATACAAATTATGCGGTTAACTTTAACAATCATGTGAACTTAAATTCATATTACACAATTCACTACTTTTAATACATGAAGATTCAATTATATTTTTGTTAAGGACAGATTTACACAATGATTCTAAATTAATTAATCCAGTCAATTGGATTATTTAAATTTCTTAAATGAAAAAAAATGCATTTGACTCCTGGCCTGGAATTGTGCTTTATTTGTTAAAAATTGTTGCAAGGGCAGACGATGAGTCACAATAACGTGGCTGAAAATTGTTGCAAGAGATTTGTAGACAGCCATTACAATTAATAGGGAAATGTTTAATATTAATTTTGTCCCCATTTACGTGTGATTGGCCTCGGTGCTCGTCCGTGTCCCCCATGACTTGCTTGTGGGCACGGCGAGCAGTGACAAGATGTGCCAGATCCGCCAGGACGCCCAAGACTCTTCAGAACTGGTCTACAACCTCCTGGTGACCGACCTCTCCAAGTGTGGCGTCGTCAGGAAGGACGTGAGTATTTCACTCAGGTTTCTTGACTCTTATCTTGAGGGGTTATCTTGAGATGATTTCGGGGCTTTAGTGTCCCCGCGGCCCGGTTCTCGACCAGGCCTCCATCCCCCAGGAAGCAGCCCGTGACAGCTGACTAACACCCAGGTACCTATTTTACTGCTAGGCAACAGGGGCATAGAGTGAAAGAAACTCTGCCCATTGTTTCTCGCCGGGGCCCGGGATCGAACCCGGGACCACAGGATCACAAGTCCAGTGTGCTGTCCGCTCGACCGACCGGCTCCTTAACCCATAGATACTACGAGGTGAACACCTAGGGGGTATAAGTTATCTCTGTATACACTGAGAAATTCATTCTCAACTATATTTAAGACTAAAGTATGCGTGATGATTGGCGAATAAGCAATAAGAGTCAATATGCCCCATCAGAGGTTGATAGGCTTTCAGCCTATCAACCTAGCGCATCTATCAAGATGTGCTCTCTTTTCATTGTCGTCTCAGAATGCTGACTTGGTTAAGCATTGTGATTAAGTCTGATAAACATGTTTGAAGTAGACGGTGGTAAAGGATACGATATAACACCCAACCCAGACATCTGATAATGATGAAAGAGAGGAGGGCCATCTTTCCCTCTATTTTCAGACGTGTGGACTAGTGTCCTATTTTCAGCCGCGTTATTGTGATATATTTTCTGCAAAGATACGATATTGTCTTTACTTCAGTAAGAGTGAACAATCTCGATTAATATGTGCAAGGCCTCGTAGAAGACTTAACAGAGAAACAGAGGGTCAATGTAAATTCAGAAAAATCGGAGTTGGAAACATTTGCAAGTGCAGTTTCCCTGGAACCTATATTGTTAACCAGAAACAATGGTTTAGTTACAAGATTATAACTAATATCCTTCCATATCAATATCTTGAAGGTCACAGGGCGTGATTGCATCACAGAATTCTCTGTTAGGTTCAATTTTGTCACTGTTATGAAAGTTGCTTTCAGAGACGTCATACATGTTACTTAATTACTTTATGGCTCTTTCCTATGAAGAAATGAAGCCATTTCACAGACACCTTTGGCCGGGTAAGCTGGTCAAGCGTAGTATTTACGGCGAAGCCTAAAAACCGAATTGATTGTGATGAAACTGCAATTTCTGGGGGAAGGGGGGGGGGGGGATGGAGCCCGAGTGGCTCCCTGAAGCTCTACACAGAGGTGGTTCCCATGTACCAGGTCGCATCAGCCGTGGAGTTCTTAGGCCTGCCGGGGACCAGAGCCAGAACCTAGCCTCACACAAGCGCTGGGAGTGGCGATATTTCGCCACCTCGTAAACGAAGGTGGTGGTGCGAAATGTGCCCCCTATCGGTTGACTATGAGAAAGTTGACAAGTGAAGGGCTTGTCTTCCCGAGTGTGAGGTAGTTACTGACCACAGATTGTGAGGTAGTTGGTGGCCAAACCGTGTGGTAGTTACTGACAGTAGTGTTCCTGCAGGGGTATGTGACACTGCGAGTGTGGTTCCCCCAGCTGGAGGGCGTGGTGCTGGCCACCGACCAGGAGGTCATCATCATGTGTAAACCAGCTTCACCAACCATCATTGAGAACAGAGCTGCTGGCTTTGCTGGATCCCTGTGAGTTCCATGTTCCACTCTATTGGCCAACCACTTGGACTGGTCGGTGCAGCGACTGCCTCGCTTCTTGCAGGTCGGAGTTCGATTCCTAATGGTCCAAGTGGTTGGGCTCTATTCCTTTCCTTCATTATAACCCAGCTCCTCATAGCATTTCCAAGTACTATATAGTCGTAATGGCAGTGTTTTCTTCTAATAATTATCTACTTATTAATATTGTAAATCAATATACAAAAAGTGCCAGTTCGAAATTTCGAAATTTTGTTTTCCAATCTGGAATAAATATCATTTTTGTTACTCCTACTACTATACTTGGAACACTTTTCTGAAGATTTTCCCAAAGACGATGATTCTCATTTCGGTTAAATAAACACAATGTTGGCCCTATAATACCTGCATTAACAATATTGGCGCCTTAACTAACCAAGCCTTCAGCAGCAGACCCTCAACAAGGCATCAGCGACGGGAAACAGACAACAGACCACATAACTGGAGTGTGATTTATACATTTTGTGCATTCTGTAATAGGAATTGGTTTAGATTTTTCTGTACCCTCTATACTAGAGTCTGATGTACACCTTATGTGCTTTTTATACTAGACTTTAATCTAGGCCTTTTGTACTATTTGTACGTGGGTCTAATTTAGTCTTCTTGTGCTCTCTGTGTTGAGGTTTCATTTAAACATTTTATGTCCACAGTAATCCTTCTGTGGTCTTACTTATTGGATAAATACAGAGTGCACTTTAAACTGCTGCTCACAGGATGGGTATGAAGTGCACAATAATGCAGCCGCTGCAGGTTTCAACAATTGGAACTAACATAACACTTCTTTCTACTGCAGGCCTTCGACGGGGCGGGTGTCAGGCGTGGTTGAGGAGACGCCTGGTCGACTGGAGTACGAGGTGGCCCTCTACAGGGAGATGAATGCCCGCTCAGGAGGCAGCCATATACCTGTGGATCAGGCTGTTCCTATTGGCTCCAGATTGCAGCTGCGAGCCAAAATCAACACCCATTCCAGTAAGCCAATGTTATGTTAAGAAACTGAAGGTTCATTTATTTGTAATCTATGAGTTAATTATTTGGTTACTCTTAATGAGTTTAGTGTAGGCCTGTCCGCATGCACTGACTCCAAACAGCATTGAAACTTCTTTAATAATTGCTTCAGGTGACATAATTATAAATTATAATCTCCTTAGTTTTTCTGTGATCACTGTAGTGTCAAATATCCCACAGAAGGTTCTACGTCAAGATTAATCTCCCTTAACCCTAACACTGATACAGTATGTGACAATTGACTCCCTTAAACCCCCCTTACACTGATGTGTTACAATTCTCCCCCAAAAAAATCTTCGTTGAAGTGTGAGGGAATGTTGTGTTGACAGGGTGGAAGTATGTCAAGCTGATGGAGGTGACGGTGTCCAGCGACCCCGCGGCGCCCTACTCCCCCGGCCATGTCGCCCTCGTCAAAGACGGGTGAGTGAGCTGCTCTCCTGCAGGAACCTAATAATATAATAATAATAATAATAATAATAATATTTTAATCAGGAAAAGTACATACATACATGCAGAGTTACAAACCTACTGTTTGATTTATAGATAGAGCTAGTACATACAATACCTAAAGCCACTAATGCGCATAACGTTTTGGCAACATGTACAGTGTTTTGTTTTCTCATTTGTGCATCTTCTGTATACAAACTGTGGTATTATAATGTCTCCTGCAGGGATAAGTACAAACATGAGCAAGCAAATCGTCAATGTTTTACTACCAGCAGCACAAATAATTGAATACACTTGGAAATATTGAGGTTAGCAGAATGTAGTGTTTGGTGTGCATTAATGAGCAACAGATACACTGAGCTGTTGACACATCCTTCCCCAGGTGTCGATTGGCAGACTTCTCGTCAATAGTGCCCCAGCAGCCTCACCGCGTCGAGGATGAGCCAGGTGAGGTGAGACTAGACTTCGAGGCTTTCATGCTCGACTCTAAGATGGCAGGGTCATCGCAGCTATGGATCCATGCCACTGTTAAGGCCTGCATTGACTCTAGAGATTGTCTCCCAGTAAGTAAAGGATATTACATGTCTCGAACCCCCCTTGATGATGTAACAATATACATTAAATTTTGTAACTAGCTTCTCAAGACTGTAACTTGCTTAAATGAACTTTGGGGTTCAGTCCCTGAGCCTATTATGTGCCTCTGTAACCCTACCGCCCATATGAGAGGTATGGGGTGCATAACATTTGACTAAATTGACTAAACATAATATACTATCACCTCTTATCGTGTGATGCTAGCAGAGCCGCTGCTGTTTGTATTTGGCGTCGATACTTCATCAGCGCCATCTGGGAAACTGTCTTGTGTTTTCACCTCTGGCCTGTTCATGCGCCTTCTGAACCCGCTTGGTCATTGGACTGCTTTGTCACTGATCTTTCTTAATCTTGCTTTACGATGTCCCTTTTGGTCCAGGATTCTTTTTTTCAGGCTCTTTTTATTTTCCCTGTTGTCGTCTGTCTCAGGTTGTAGTGTTGGGGAGCTTCATGGAGATGTGGCTTTTGTTCGTTTGGCCTTGGTGGGTGTTATGTTTATAACTATCTCCTTCTGCATAGAGCCATCTCGGCGAGACAGCTTCAGACAGCCACAGGAACTCACCCAGAAAAAGAGGCGTTTCATAACATTCAATGCTGGTTTTCGCTTTTGCATCATTTGCTTCACATTTTTCCTCATATTTTTTCTCTATCATTCCCATTCGGCTGTTTATTATATTGTTTTTATATACTCTACTAATTTTGCACCAGGGTGCACTGGCTAGGCCTAGCAGAAGATGTGCACAGATCCCCTCGTATTGTTCATATTGCCACAGATTGCCAAGTGACACTAAACTTCTGTTGTCGTTTTGTGCTCTTGCTATGTTCTTTAGATATTACCACCATTACTCGGCTGTCAACTGTCCTGCCACAGGGATGATAGTAATCTCTGGTGATACTGGAGCCTGCCACTGGCATGCTCCAAATATAATTTTCAGTTAAAAAAAATCTAGGGCTCTCACTTTTTTCAGTAACTTTTCTGGGAGGAGCCCCATATGTGACTCCCTGTAGCCAACATGTCCGATGTGTGTGATGTCTAAAAGTTGCCATCGGTCGCCGAGTTCTCTGGCCTACAGGAGATGCTGAACCGAGGCGCAGGGAGCAATAGCATTTTTGTATGTGCCACAACCACGGAAAGCACCAAGAAAGTCAGCGAAACGAAACCACAGCTCGTTCTTTCCTATACCTGCAGACTCTAAAAGGGCCAACGAACTCCCCCAAACTATGTAAACAAACTACCGAAAATGTTATGAACTAGCACTTGATGGTTCGCCCCGCTCTTCCCCTCGTGTGGAGGGAGCAGCCCGCGGCTCACAGACGGCTCCACCCTCTTATGCGTTGGGTTGCCGCAGTCAACCTCTGGTCCGTGTTTTTTTTCTTGGATTTCTTTCAAATCTCGCTTGCAAAGTGACAGCTGCTTGAAAAAGCCTCCAATTGGGAATCAGAGTCCATAAGCGCAGAGAGTTTGTGAGAACACTCCTCAAAGGACTCGGGGTAGTATACTCAACAATCGGTAAGAATGATTGGTAGCAAAGACAGTGAGCACCCTTCAAATTTGCCCACAGCGAGGGTGAGTTCGACGGGCCGATTCATAAATGACCACGCCATAGACCCGCAGAGGATTCAGAGGGCCTGAAGGCGATTAACCAAGCAGATACCCCAGACACTGGGGGCCGCTCGCCACAAGTACACACACCAACCGCAGCCAAAACAACCAGACTATGGTGACTGGTGTGTGCCTTATAAACAAGCGAACTCCAGTGTGCCCTAGCACAACCAAAGAACGCCTCCAACCAAACGCCCAAGCAGAGGAATCAAGGCTCGGTGATTAGCCCCAAGGTGATGCTCTCCACCCTGGTGGCCATGCTTCTCTGGCGAACTCCCGAACACATAAAAAAAAAGTAACTGACTGTGCAGGGGCAGCATTAATGGGCACTGAGAAGAAAATCCAAAGCGAATTCACCCCCGAAATACAACAAAAAGGTAAACCCCCACAAAGCAAATGCAGGGCAACACAGTCCAAGAATAGCCTGCATTTGGCTTGAAGTGGTGGGGCTTGCCCACAACTGACAGTCTGGAACACTACAAGCAGCTCTACATGTTGCCTCGTGAGTTACAGAACTGACCAGAGGAGCTGGCCGAGGACTGGGGCCGTGCTGTCTGGTTTTGGTATTAGATACTAACGGTTTTGAGTGAGTCCCTTGTTCTGTGTGAATTATTTGTAGATCTGTTTGGTGGTTTTTGAGGCTTCATTTCCTGTGAACCCTCCAATTGTCTGTAAATCTTCACTTACTTTCTGGAGGCTTTTTCCAGTTGGGATGGTGGATTGTCACCTACTCAGCACCTCTGCGAGAGGTGGTCATAATCTGGCTCTTGTACCCGTTAAGCCAGACAAAACTCCCGCGTCTGAGGTGACCTTTTAGTATGGAGTACTCTGAGCAAGATACCTCCAGGGAGCCACTGGGGCTTCCGCCAGAAAATTACATGGACAAAAACCCAACTAGGCCTAACCTAATTGAGCAAAGGCTGTCGTTAATATATACAATAAAAACGGGATAATCAGTTGAGCAACATAGCTGAAGCCATCTAGCTTGAATCTTTAAAACATGTGTTTAAGCAAGTACTCTGTAACCATCATCTATTGCAAAGTAACAACACTCTTAGAGACTACAGGCAGGCCACATCTTACACATTATTCGCATAGAGTAGGTTTGGAAATGTAGTTTGTCATTGCAAATTTAAAAATGCATAGGGGACTTTTTGCTTTACATGGGGTCGAATTTACTTAAGACACCATCAATTATTCTTAATTAATTCATTGTGTCGGGGGACAGGAAGCCAGAGTGTTTGATAGACAGTAGACTTATACCGATGTCCCCCCCCACCCCCCTTCCCCAAGGCCGAATTACTGCCCCCGCCCAGGATGGACCCCACAACAAGCTGACTAACTCCTGAGTACCTACTCACTGCTACGTAAACAGAGGCATTAGGTGAAAGGAAATGTGCCCAATCATTTCTGTCCTGCCCGGAATTCAAACCCGGAACTCTCGATTGTGCGTCGAGAATGAATCCGACTGTACTACCGGGACCCCTAACAGATCACCTGATTGCATTTATCAGATGCTTTTTAATCTCATGAGATTTACCCATGATATTACCCTAAAGTGGCCTTAACTAGTGGCCTCGACAGGGACAGGAAACTGATGGCCTGTCATAGCCCCCCCCCCCTCCTCCCCTCATTTATCCTGAGAACTTTTTCAGCTGCATTTATAACTGCAGTAATGTTTTGGTATTTACGACTTGAGCGGGTTGGCAGTGCCATAGGTAAATCCTATGGGTGAAAAAGCATCTGTTAAATGCAATCAGGTGATCTGTTAGAATGTGCTAACAACACAGTTGACCATGTCCTTCACTCACACCCCTGGATTCAGTTTCCAGGCAGGACAGAAATAGTTTGGCATTTTTCCTTTCATCTGGTGTGTCTGTTCATCTAGCAGTGAACAGGTACCTGGGAGTTAGGCAACTGTTGGGGGTTGTATCCTGGGGAAGGTTAGTAGTTGGCCTATGGGGCTTCTCGATAAGCCTAAGTGCAAGCTTACTGACCCGACAATGGGAATTATATGCCACATTTTTTGTTTTACAAACTTATGGATTCTTGCATCATTGCAATTCCCAAGCATGCTTGACAGTCTGGAAAGTAGAGGGAGGAATGGTGTGGCTGGGGTAGGAGCTATGAGGAGGAACTTGAGGAATCTTGAGGAACCTACCTCAAGATTTGGGGTAGGAAAAGGACATAATATTCCGGATTACACCAACACCTCTCCTGCACCAGATTGACTCCTGCATGTCTTCTGATGCAGCTGCAAGTCATAGCTGTCAAACTTCAAGCTGTATTGTATAGGAAGTACATGGTCTGTGTTCTATCTTACACTATGGAGAATATTGTGGTGTCAACTGAGTGAACTCGCCTGCCAATTTGCACTGATACCAATTCTGATAACGCTAAATATCAGTTGTACTAATTAGTGGGCAAAATACTTCCCTCCACAAACACCTTTTAGCCATATTAATACGATGGTTTATGTGATTTGATCGCATAACAATAATTTACTATAAAAAAGAGCTCCTATTCCTCAGTTTTCTACTTGCATAGTCCTCTTGATGCGTGAGGTGTATCGTGTTGGCCTTCTCTTGTTCTTATATTGCAAGTTTTCCCATAAGATGTGCTAGTAATTAATACAGAATCAACTGGTTCATCACAATGGACACAGCTGATAAAAACCTAAATGATGGCAATTGTGTTTTCGATCACTTGCACAGGAATTCTGTCTAGACCTGTTCCAGCCGTCGGGCCACGGCCGGAGACGGAGGAGAAAACCGACCCATTATGCCGAGGGCCTCCTGGAGGTGTCAGAAGGGAACAACGTCTCTCTCTCCACCTTACTGCCCGGCCGGACCACCTCCCTCACTGACGCCTTCCAGGACTTTGTCTCTGCCAAGGTGGAAGTGCAGGTAAATTGTTACATACCGTTCGAATTATACATTTTCTGGCTGTTTACAGAGGAGTAAACTGACATTTTTTTTCATAGTACGTAATATGTGACCTATATTTATTGTGTACAGCTTCGTAGTCATGCAGCAACAGACGAGTTCATTATAACAAGATACGAAAACCCATTGAATGTAGCTGAGGCTTTCTCTCTTCACATGACAAATATATAAAATGAATGAATAATTTGAGGTAAATAAAGTGGTGAAGATGTATAGGCCTAGAATGAAAGGGCTCACCCTGATACCATGGCAGGACATAGGCCTACCATGCCAATGATCACCCCATCTTGGTGGATAATACTCTAGCAAACTGTGGATTGACCTGTCAAAATCTTCTGGCATTTAACTACATAAAAAGGGAAGAATATGGGTTCCATCTGTGAAAAATGCACAGTGGTGATGGTGGTGGCCAGTTACTGCAGAGACCACAGCAGTACTCATGGGCTGACCCATTATTGGACCTGGAGGCATAGCAAGATAGGAATGGCTGTTTCCCTCACTTAATAGGTGCCTAGCCATATGATGTCTAGATTTGTATTATACTGTAGATAGAAAATTAAGAACTGAAGTGTAGAGTCAAAAAGGATATGAATAATTATGATAATGAAATACTGTAATCGGAAAGTTAATTGTATCGAGCATAATAAAGTAAAATTCATTACATATATATAGGGGATTTTCACAAACTGTAGTTTTAATGATGTATCTCACTAAGCCTGTAGTTGAGAACACCACAACACCGCTCCTCCCGCCTCCTGAAGCCTTGGCCCAGGCTCTGGCCTCCTCTCCACCTCCTGATGCTCCCTCTACAAGCATCGGGGACAACGTTGGCATCACTGTCATCATGCCTCAAGGTATACATGTGTGTTGGTGTGACTGTCATCATGCCTCAAGATATACATGTGTTGGTGTGACTCATCTTGCCTCAAGGTATACATGTGTTGGTGTGACTTATCATGCCTCAAGGTATACATGTGTGTTGGTGTGACTGTCATCATACCTCAAGGAATACATGTCAGTGAATCTGTTCTTTCAGAATTTTCGGTTTGCATAGATAAGCGTTTAATATTTCACTCAGGGAGCAAGTATCATTTAATAGGAGTGTGGTAGGTCTTGTACAATTGGCTTCATTCTTGACTCACAATTGGGGATACCGGGTTTAATTCTTGGGTGGGACAGAAATGATTGGGCAAGTTTCCTGTCACCTATTGTTTGTTCACCTAGCAGTAAATAGGTACCCGGGTGTTAGGGAACTGTTGTGGGGTTGCATCCTGGGGAGGATCAGTAGTTCAACCTTGAGGGAACCTTTTTTGACATAGGCCTAAAGTTTATAGTTAAGCAGGCTTCTTGTCCCCAACAGCAGAACTTGTTATATTATTGTTACAATGCTGCATCTTGGCTAATATTATAATTAAAGTTGAATAATAAATATAAAATCCTGTAATTTTAAACTTTACAGAATTTTTCACACAAACCGAAGCACTGTACCAGTCGTGTGCAACGTTCATGGTGCTCTCAGGGTTCTTGGGACTGAGCGTACTGGTGGCTGCTGGCTTCCTCTGCTTCCTTACTTCTCGTCTCCACAAGACAGTTGCTCAGGCTCACACCACCACCCTCGAGTCTGTCATCAAGGAGCATCACAACAAATATGCTCTTCCAGACTTCCTGGAGTTACCCTTCCAGTGATGTCATTCATAATACCTCTGAGAGGCTATATGAAACATTGTATGATCTAATTTTCCTCTAACAATTAGCATTTTATTTTAAAAGTATTATTGGGCACAGAATTATGCAGGTTTTATAGAAAAGTTACCTATATTGATGTAAGGTATTTATAAGACGAGTTATGAGTGTTAATTTGGCTATAGTTGTTCTTACTGTTTTCAATGTCAAATTTATCAATGTTATTTCATTCTTTTAAATATCTGAAATTATGCTACAAATTTTATCCAAGTTAAAGGTAGGTGTCTAATGAATATACTATTAGATGTATGAATTCTTTAAATGAACAGCAGTGTTGAGGTTCATTTACCTCAGTAGTGAGGTAATACCTGCATAATGAAGATTTAGATCTACAGTATTTGTCTTGAAGATGTCGTCAAGAACTGCCAGGTGGTAGTATATTTTATCTAATTTCGCATGCTACATGTCTTACCAGCTTGGCACCTTTTTGATAATTACTGTACAGTACAGTACTTACTCTACTTTGACTTTCTGGTAGACCCCCTCCCCTCCACCCCTGCAACTGTTCATGACTTTTGCAATACCAAAATTGGAATATGCAGTAGTTGTATGGTGCCCATATCTCAAGAAGCACACTAGTAAACTGGAAAAGGTGCAAAGGCATGCTACAAAATAGTTTTCGGAACTGAAAAATAAGAGTTATGAGGATAGGCTAGAGGCCTTAAATATGCCAAAGCTAGAATATAGAAGAAAAAAGCGATATAATCAACACTTACAAAGTAATAACAGGAATGAACCAAATTGACAGAGAAGTTCCTGAAACCAGGAACTTCACGAACAAGACGACACAGATTAAAGCTAAGGAAACAAAGGTGCCAAAAAAATATTAGAAAGTTTTCCTTTGCAAACAGTGATAGACAGTTGGAACAAGTTAATTGAGAAAGAGGAGGCCAAAACCTTCAGTAGTTTCAAAGTGTTATACGACAAGAGTACTGGGAAGACGGGACACCACGAGTGTAGCTCTCAAAACTAAGGTTATTACACACACGCACATAGAAACATAAGAAAATTCACTTCACAAATAGTGGTAGAATATGTATGAAACGTATAAGCACATATGTATTGTACATATAAGAGCATAAGTATGGTACTAATTTGGGCATATGTATGTTACTAATAAGAGTTTTTGTATGGTACCTCAATGGGCATATGAATTGTTCTTATATGGGTATATGTATGATACTTATATGGGTATGAGTTTGGTACTCATATGGGTATGAGTTTGGTACTTATGTACTTACGTACCTGTATGGTACATACGTACCTTTTTTTTACCTTACACAGTCATCCTTATTTTATAGATATAGAAGATAGACAATGATTAAATCAAGTAATAAAAACTCGACCAGCGGACGAAGACAAAGATGGGGTACATACAGCCCGCCGCCTGCAAAGAATCCGAGCCCTGGCGAAATCGTCATTTTTCACAAAACTCAAAATCAAAACCAGCCATAGAATCGTTTTGAAAATGGTACCATTGTGTTTACCACAGCAATTTACCTTTCTTTCTATAAAGTCTTTCTTTGCTAATTTTAAATATTAACGCCTATACAGCCATATTTACTGAGATACAGCCACCTCAAATATCAAACCTATCATCGTGTTTTCTCAACAAATTACTAAGGAAAATGAATTGTAAAAAATGTAATAATAATTATAATGAGCTAAATAATAAATGGATAATCAAAATAACATTATATCTATATTCCTCATATACGTAGACACTACTATGCATGGTGCGTATATGGGCATATGTATGCTACTTATATAGGCATATGTATGGTACTTATATTGGCATATGAATGGTACTTATATGGGCAAGTATGGTACTTATAAGGGCATATGTATGGTAGTTATAAGGGATATATATATGATAGATATAAAAACATATGTATTGTTCTTATAAGGGCATAAGTATGGTACGTATTTGGGCATATGTATGTTACTTATAAGAGCTTTTGTATGGTACCTCAATGGGCATATGTATTGTTCTTATATGGGCATATGTATGACACTTATATGGGCATGAGTATGGTATATATATGGATATGTATTTGGTACTTATGTACTTACGTACCTCAATGGTACTTACGTACCTTTTACCTTACACAGACAGTCATCCGTATTTTATAGATATAGAAGATAGACAATGATTAAATCAAGTAATAAAAACTTGACCAGCGGACGAAGACAAAGATGGGGTACATACAGCCCGCCGCCTGCAAAGAATCCGAGCCCTGGCGAAATCGTCATTTTTCACAAAACTCAAAATCAAAACCAGCCATAGAATCGTTTTGAAAATGGTACCATTGTGTTTACCACAGCAATTTACCTTTCTTTCTATAAAGTCTTTCTTTGCTAATTTTAAATATTAACGCCTATACAGCCATATTTACTGAGATACAGCCACCTCAAATATCAAACCTATCATCGTGTTTTCTCAACAAATTACTAAGGAAAATGAGTTTTAAAAAATGTAATAATAATCAAAATGAGCTAAATAATAAATGGATAATCAAAATAACATTATATCAATATTCCTCATGTATTTAGAGACTACTATGCATGGTGCGTATATGGGCATATGTATGCTACTTATAAAGGCATTTGTATGGTACCTATATTGGCATATGAATGGTACTTATATGGGCATTTATGGTACTTATAAGGGCATATGTATGGTAGTTATAAGGGTATATGTATGATACTTATAAGAACATATGTATTGTTCTTATAAGGGCATAAGTATGGTACCTTTTTGGGCATATGTATGTTACTTATAAGAGCTTTTGTATGGTACCTCAATGGGCATATGTATTGTTCTTATATGGGCATATGTATGACACTTATATGGGACTGAGTATGGTACCTTTATGGGTATGTGTTTGGTACTTATGTACTTACGTACCTCTATGTTTCTAGGCTGGGATTTATTTCTTATTTATTTATTTATTTATATACAAGAAGGTACATTGGGTTTGTGAGAGTACATAGTATAGTATTTACAATCTTGTAAAGCCACTAGTACGCGCAGCGTTTCGGGCAGAAACGGAAAATTTCTCGAAAAGTTAGCAATAAAATACGTTTTCTAGTTATTTTTAAAATTAAGTCCAGGGATTCTGTCTAACGAAGCTGCAAGCTAAAACAACGTTATGCTATAATGTTCATCTGTAGCTTGACCCTAAATACTCGTTTATTAAACAAATTTATTGTTAGAGTTCATTAGGAATAAACTTTGTTGAAGGCAGAGTTTCCAGCAAATACCTTCCTGTGATTGGCTGTTGCGGGGAATGCCAACGCTTATATGAATAAAATGCAAAATAAGAAATACGTCCTTTTGCTCAACAACTTTGGTGTTGTTGTACAAAAGAACAACAATGTCTGTTTTATACAAGACAGACATTTCCATCTAACTGAATAATGTAGACCAATAAGAGGACGGAGGCATTGTATCGCCGATATTATTTGTGTGAGGCAACTCCCACTGATGACGTCACAAGTTAGGTAGCCAGCCCATGTTTCTGTAACACCCGTTACATCCTGCAGTATTTAATTATCACTATATTAATACTTTTAAATACTTAACATTTCACTTTTTAGGTAGATTAAAGTTGAAGCAGAATGTCATAAGCAAGGATGGTGTGCTGAATAAAGATGATTTATTAAGTGGATGGAGCCTTTAGCTGATCCCTTCCTGTGATTGGCTGTTGTGTGAATGTCAACAAAGAATATCTACCAATGATATGCCATTTATTATGCACCCCATACCATCTGTGGGCGGAGCTTGGAACCTCCTACCCGAGCACAACAACCCACCTTATGGGTTGCTGTTTGGCTATTTATAGTGCGTTGGAAAAAAACGAGATGGCGTTAGTTGTATTTTGTGGGGTAATTTGTTATAAGTGTAATTTGATGTCAACAGATGGCGTAAGCTGTATCTTATGGCCACTGTTGACCAGCCAGTTGATAGTGTTCTCTTCTGCCGACAGATGGCATCTGCTGTATTATTTTTACTTCCGAATTCCCTTTTAAACACTGATCTACAAATCCCTTGGCTTGTATAAGGTTTTATACAATTTATGATAAGTATTAGATAACTGGAGTTTCGCAATTACTTTTATCACTTACGTACCTCTATGGTACTTACGTACCTTTTACCTTACACAGAGAGTCATCCGTATTTTATAGATATAGAAGATAGACAATGATTAAATCAAGTAATAAAAACTTGACCAGCGGACGAAGACAAAGATGGGGTACATACAGCCCGCCGCCTGCAAAGAATCCCAGCCCTGGCGAAATCGTCATTTTTCACAAAACTCAAAATCAAAACCAGCCATAGAATCGTTTTGAAAATGGTACCATTGTGTTTACCACAGCAATTTACCTTTCTTTCTATAAAGTCTTTCTTTGCTAATTTTAAATATTAACGCCTATACAGCCATATTTACTGAGATACAGCCACCTCAAATATCAAAAATATCATCGTGTTTTCTCAACAAATTACTAAGGAAAATCAATTGTAAAAAATGTAATAATGATCAAATTGAGCTAAATAATAAATGGATAATCAAAATAACATTATATCTATATTCCTCATGTATTTAGAGACTACTATGCATGGTGCGTATATGGGCATATGTATGCTACTTATAAAGGCATTTGTATGGTACCTATATTGGCATATGAATGGTACTTATATGGGCATTTATGGTACTTATAAGGGCATATGTATGGTAGTTATAAGGGTATATGTATGATACTTATAAGAACATATGTATTGTTCTTATAAGGGCATAAGTATGGTACCTTTTTGGGCATATGTATGTTACTTATAAGAGCTTTTGTATGGTACCTCAATGGGCATATGTATTGTTCTTATATGGGCATATGTATGACACTTATATGGGATTGAGTATGGTACCTTTATGGGTATGTGTTTGGTACTTATGTACTTACGTACCTCTATGGTACTTACGTACCTTTTACCTTACACAGACAGTCATCCGTATTTTATAGATATAGAAGATAGACAATGATTAAATCAAGTAATAAAAACTTGACCAGCGGACGAAGACAAAGATGGGGTACATACAGCCCGCCGCCTGCAAAGAATCCCAGCCCTGGCGAAATCGTCATTTTTCACAAAACTCAAAATCAAAACCAGCCATAGAATCGTTTTGAAAATGGTACCATTGTGTTTACCACAGCAATTTACCTTTCTTTCTGTAAAGTCTTTCTTTGCTAATTTTAAATATTAACGCCTATACAGCCATATTTACTGAGATACAGCCACCTCAAATATCAAACCTATCATCGTGTTTTCTCAACAAATTACTAAGGAAAATGAGTTTTAAAAAATGTAATAATAATCAAAATGAGCTAAATAATAAATGGATAATCAAAATAACATTATATCAATATTCCTCATGTATTTAGAGACTACTATGCATGGTGCGTATATGGGCATATGTATGCTACTTATAAAGGCATTTGTATGGTACCTATATTGGCATATGAATGGTACTTATATGGGCATTTATGGTACTTATAAGGGCATATGTATGGTAGTTATAAGGGTATATGTATGATACTTATAAGAACATATGTATTGTTCTTATAAGGGCATAAGTATGGTACCTTTTTGGGCATATGTATGTTACTTATAAGAGCTTTTGTATGGTACCTCAATGGGCATATGTATTGTTCTTATATGGGCATATGTATGACACTTATATGGGATTGAGTATGGTACCTTTATGGGTATGTGTTTGGTACTTATGTACTTACGTACCTCTATGGTACTTACGTACCTTTTACCTTACACAGACAGTCATCCGTATTTTATAGATATAGAAGATAGACAATGATTAAATCAAGTAATAAAAACTTGACCAGCGGACGAAGACAAAGATGGGGTACATACAGCCCGCCGCCTGCAAAGAATCCCAGCCCTGGCGAAATCGTCATTTTTCACAAAACTCAAAATCAAAACCAGCCATAGAATCGTTTTGAAAATGGTACCATTGTGTTTACCACAGCAATTTATATTTCTTTCTGTTAAGTCTTTCTTTGCTAATTTTAAATATTAACGCCTATACAGCCATATTTACTGAGATACAGCCACCTCAAATATCAAACCTATCATCGTGTTTTCTCAACAAATTACTAAGGAAAATGAGTTTTAAAAAATGTAATAATAATCAAAATGAGCTAAATAATAAATGGATAATCAAAATAACATTATATCAAT